GGCCGTCCGTGCGCACGTTTGATCTGGGCCGTCCGTGCGCGCGGGGACGCATCTGGGCCGTCTGATCGCGCGCACGCGGATCGCCCACGTGGTTCGTTCCCGGGTCGACGTGGTCTTGCCACGCGGCAGGTCCTGGTTGGCCAGGGCTGCTGACTGGGCCGCTGACGTGGCTGCTGATGTGGCGCTGACGGGGCGCAATTTTTTTAAATTACGTTTTGACCCCCGGTTTTCGATTTTCTTTTCAAAAATACTCACAGAATCCTAATTTTCACCATTTTTCCCAAAATCAATTTCAATTAAATCCAAATAATATTTTTACCCAATTTTACAATTATTATTGTTTTTATTTTTATTAACTTAAATTAAAATAAACTAAATAAATAAAAAAAATAAAATTAATAATAATAACAATAAAATTCTAAAATTGTTGGGCGTTACATTCTATGTTACTAATTATGCATGAAGTTATGATCTGTATGATGTTATTGTCTTTATAGGTTGTCTTCACAGATTCTCCAATGGTAAGAAAAATAGTAAATGATTTTATTTTTAATGAATGTATTGGTCTAAATTTAGTGCTCCATTGGTTGTTTTGCTTTTCTACTAATCTTTACTTCTGTGACGGTGATATAGTGTGATGTCTTTATTGGGTTAGTGTAACTCATTTCTTATTTAACCATTTCAAATCAGGAGGACCTGGTTCCCGAGCCCGATCCACAAGAAGACTGCGAGTAGATGCTATATGCTTTATAGTTTCCTTAATTTTTCTCATTTCTCGTATTTCTTTCAGAGAACTTATTCCGTGATGTTGTTTAGTACTTTTAAGTTACTGTGTAAGGATGTTAACCTTAATCTTTTATTTCGCTTCTGCACTCAGATTATTATATGTATTTCTTTTTGAATTTCCGGGGCCGTTACATAATCTGCATAGAGAAACAAATAGTAATATATATTATATATAAAGAAATCAATTAGACACTAAAATTAATTCAAGTTTAAAGAGATAATAAATAAAATGTAATGGCCCCGAAAATTTAAAAGAAAATGTATATAATAATTTGAGTGCGGAAGCGAAATATAAAGTTAACATCCCTTACACAATAACTCAAAAATACTAACAAATATCACGAAACAAATTCTCTAAAAGAAATACGAGAAATGAAAAAAATAAAAGAAACTATAAGATATCTAGCATCTACTCGTAACCTTCTTGCGGATCGGACTCAGAAATCGGATCTTCCTGATCTGAAATAGTTAAATAAGGAATAAATTACACTAGTGTAGTAAAGATCTTATAATATTTGTATAATAAATTAAGTGCATACTCTATTAAAATATTATTGTATATTTTGTAAATGTTCGTGTATATTTTAGGAATAACATGTTACATATGCTACCATTAAGTGAAGACATCCCAACCTATTTCTTTAACTCTATATTATGACCTATTCATACCCTTTCACCTCCATCTCTGTGTCTCTTCCCATTACAACGAATGCTCTATAATTCTTTCCTTTATATAAAACCAATGAACATAACAGAAGAACCTCCCCTAACCTTACTTTCTTTTATTAGACCATGTTTAGAGTAAAAATACATCCCTCTCTCATTTTTGATAAAATTGGGTAGAAATTCGTTTTTTTTTAAAAAAAAAACTTTACAAGCAAATATAAAAATAGATTTAGAAGGTAATACACACATATGTTCATATAATGTTGGAAGATAAGGTCAAATAACCAACATTATTTATAAAATGATTAAATTCTAAATTAATAGTGTTCTAACTATATTGTTAAGATAAAATTAGTTTTAAAGATATGTTTTTTTTTTATGCTTAAAAATATTTTTACTTTTTTTGTGTGTGCACATTTTATAGTTTTTCATTCTTGAATATATTTGTTTTTTTTTTTTAAATTTTAAATGTCTATGTTGTTATATACTTAAAAAGTTTGAAAATCATTA